GTTGCAGAAGAGACAAGAAAGTTATTTAGTCCTCAGTGAAACTAGCTGTATAAACAAGATGCTTTTTTTGCATGGCGTTCTCTCAGGTCCTATAATTATTCTTGGGAAACCGTTCATTTAGATGGGGGAATAGAGCTGTCTTAATTGCAGTTTATGCATACCTGGGATGGCCAGTCTTTTCCATTATACCAGAAAAGCTGGCTCTTCTTTAGAACTGGTTTAACCTCCTGGATTGCTTGCTTCATATCCATATAGAAGTACTTAAACTGGTTTGTCTGTGTTGTAAGTAGAGCAGATATGGCTTCCTGCAAGTCTGAGAACCTGTTCAGCCTCAACTGATTGCTCGAATGGATGTAGGTGAGATGAAACTGCTCCTCCCTCTGCCAACTCACTATTTTAATGAATGAGAATATCCCTTAAGCCTTTTAACCTTGTATGCCTGTAATTCCTATCCTGGTATCTTTAAGTTGGAGCAAACTGCTTACCTGTGAATACATTTTGTTTGATTCTTTAGTATTTCACTAACCCCCTCTTTTTTGGTGTTATACTATAGCTTGGGGTGTAATTCATGTTTTCTTTATCTTTGTCAGCATTGTCAAATTAATAATTTTTGTTCAGGATTTTAAAGAGCTGGAGAGGTTTTGCTTGCTTGCCACTTCAGCAGATGACCGTGATATTATTTCAAGGCAGTCAGGGTAGTGGCAACTTGAGTGAAACTGAGCAAATTACTAGAGTCCAGCTACTGGCATCTCGAGGTTGGTATTTGTACTTGAGCAGTGTTTGCAACCTAGAGTAACTGCTGAAGTATTACTCTACAAAAAATCTCCCAGGAGCCTCTTCTGAGACTATTCTGGTCACTGTGGTATAGTTATCCAAGCTGCACTGCTGTTTAGAAAAACGTGGCTGTGAGGTAAACCTGCAGTGGTACTAAGATTGTTTCAGCATATCTAATACAGATTCACAACATCTTTTTAAAATAAAATTTACAACTGGTCCACATATGAGCATGCTAGTTGTTTTTTTCCTTTGTGTGTAGTGTCAGGAGTGTTTTTACCTTGAACGCATCGAGACATTTAACACATGGAGAGCTGTCAAACATGTAGCAGTTATGCTTTTAATATGCCTCTATCTGGAATCAGTGTAATAGGTACAGGCTTTTGCTATGTAATCTGAGAAAATTTCTTTTTAACATAGAACTAAGATGCAGTACAGAAAAGATTGCTTAACATTGTTATGTAAACATGAGGATTCTTCAAAGAAGCCATTGCTGTCTTAGTAGCAGATTGCCATGGAGATGTCATGAACTTTCTTTCCCTCATTATGATAAGTATCTCTTATTTTGCCATGTACTGCCTCCACCAAAATGCATCCTGCCTGCTTTCTTTCTCTTCCAACCCTCAAGGCCAAATATAGTTTCTGTGCTAGACATGTTAGAACTTCTATGATAAGTGAGAATTTTGTAAACACTGCACAAGGCCCCTGCTTCTGCGCCTTCCATTTTAAAAGCACTTGTGACCATCTAACGAACCTGAATGTGCATAAATCTGTGGGACCTAATGAGATTCACCCACGGGTCCTGAGGGAACTGGCAGATGCTAAGCCTCTGTCCATCATATTTGAGAGGTCATGGCAGTCTGGTGAGGTTCTTGCTGATTGGAAAAAAGGGAACATAGCCCCTATTTTTTAAAAAGAGAAAAAGAAAGATCCAGGGAACCATGCTCGATGGATAAGAAATTGGCTGAGTGGCTGCAGCCAGAGAGTTGTGGTCAATGGCTTAATGTTGAAATGGAGGCAGGTGACAAGTGATGTCCCCTAGGGATCAGTATTGGGACCAGTGCTGTTAAACATCTTTGCTGGCGACATGAACAGTGGGATTGAGTGTATCCTCAGCAAATCTGCTGATCATACCAAGCTGTGTGGTGTGGTTGACACCGTAGAGGGAAGGCATGTCATCCAGAGGGACTCTGACAGGCTGGAGAGGTGGGCCAGGGCCAACCTCATGAAGTTCAACAAGGCCAAGTGCAAGGTCCTGCACCTGGGTTGGCACAACCCCAGGCACAAATACAGGCTGGGGGGAGAATGTCTACAGAGCAGTCGTGAGGAGAAGGACTTGGGAGTGGTAGTAGATGAGAAGCTCTACACAAGCCGCTGGTGTGCTCTCACAGCCCAGAGAGCCGATTGTGTCCTGGGCTGCATCAAAACAAGTGTGTCCAGCAGGGCCAGGGAGGTGATTCTGCCCCTCTACTCTGCTCTGTTGAGGCGTCACCTAGAGTACTGGAGTTCTGATGCCCTCAGCACAAGAAAGATACAGACCTGTTGGAGAGAGACCAGAGAAGGGCACCCAAGATGATCAAAGGCCCTCTGCTATGAAGACAGGCTGAGAGAGTTGTGGCTGTTCAGCCTAGAGAAGAGAAGGCTCCGAAGAGACCTTATAGTAGCCTTCCAGCACTTGAAGGGGGCCTACAGGAAAGCTGAGAAAGGGCTTTTTTTCAGAGAAGATAGTGGTAGGACAACAGGTAATGGTTTTAAACTGAAAGAGGGAAGATTTAGGTTAGACATCAGAAAGAAATTCTTCATTACAAGGGTTGGTGAGGACCTGGAATGGGTTGCCCAGGTAAGCTGTTGATGCCCCACCCCTGGAGTTTTTTAAGGCCAGGCTGGATGAGGTTTTGTGCAGCCTGGTCTAATGGTAGGGTTCCCTGGTCATGGCAGGGGGGTTGGAGCTTGATGATCGTTAAGGTCCCTTCCAAGCGTAATGATTCTATTATTATGTGGTATCTGTCCTTTGGCCTTCTTTTTGGCTGAAAGATCTTTGCAGTACAGTGTATCTCTGTCTTCTCTTTGGTGGCCTATCCCCAACTGGAAGGATTTGCCTTTCTTAGTTTGAAATACAGAGATCATGTGAGCAAGTGCTGAAACAGATTTTTGTTCCTCAAGAAGGTTGCTGGTAAATGCTTTGTGAGCACCCTTTTCAGAGAGAATCAAATCTGCTGGAATTTACTAGTAAAACTGTTGTTTTTTTCCTATTGTCCAGATACCTCCTTTTTACACTATGCTGTTCTTGATCCTAGTGCATCTGTGGTTTTAAGTACTCTTCTTGTTTCTTGTAGATGAAAAGATTGTGGGAGAGTTGCTAAGCCTGTTTAAAACTCTTTCTTCTTTTAATCCTTGATCATTGGCTGCAAAGTTGTATGGTTTCATTTTATTCTGATGATACAATCGCATCAGCATCTCTTACCTTTTGAAGACAGCATAAAATAGCAGGAGTGACTGATTGTGCTGGTGATGACATCAGATCAAGAAAATAGTTCTGTTGGAATATGTTGCTGTTCAGACAGAAGGGAAAAAACACTGAGTTTGCCAGTACTCACGGGGCATGGATTGAGGTATCTGGCAGATCACAGCCCTTGTATCTACTATGACAGAATGATAGATTGAATGACCTTTTTTATTTTTTATGACATCTCACTATGGTATGGGGTTATCTAAGGGGTGGTTATCTAAGAGAGCAATATTCTAAGCATATAATTTGCTATCTTTGGAGGAGCTGGTGTGCATCATTATTAGGTTATAGGGATTTTTTTTTTACATATTACTGAGAGGTCAAGCAGATGCAGAAGAACTTACCTTAAAAATTGTATTGTAGAGCAAGTGATTTAAGGCTGATGATAAATTAATGTGATAATTAAAGATAATAAGGTATGTTTTATATGCATTCTTTCCCCCTCATTTCTTTTAAGTCAGCAGCAGGAAGAAAGGTAGAATTTGGAGGTGCAGACATCATTCGTTCTGTGTACGTTTTGACGGTGTTAGATTTTCATTCTTTGGGGCCTTGTCCTGGATTCTGCCTTCTTTCAATTTACTCCTTTCTGAAGAGCTGCTTTATAGCAATGGTACATTTATAACAATTGCCAGTTCTCTGAAGAAAAACACATTTAGATGTGATTCAGTATCTGTTCAATTTCAGCTCCCAGTTCTGCCTCCTCATTTTTTGTAGAAGGGATTGGAGATACTGCCTAGAGAAGAAACCAATTTTGCTGCTGGGAATTGTGAACCTTAAACAGTAAAAAGGAAACAAGTTTTCTGTTAGCTTGTTAATCTCGAGGTGGGAGGTGAGGAGAGAAACCACTTTCTATCTTATTTTTTTAATACTTAAACAGTTCAAAAGAGATTGAGTCAGATACTGAATTTTGCACAATTATCTTCATCTTTCTCACTGTCAGACTATTTTGAGGTTCTTGAACTGAAGGATAGTATTCTGTCATTGTATTCTTCCTGGACCATTGAAATAATTTGCTGCAATGTATTTGACTTCTGTAGAACAACAACAGACTTTTAAGTCATGGATCAGGGGAGGAAAAGGGGACAAAACTCAGTTGCACTGGCTGCTATCTGCTTTTTGGCTAAGCTGAGTACTCTGATCGTTTAGGAAGACCTAACTACAGTTTGCCTCCAGCTTCAGAGCCTTACTCCATGGTTGCTTAGTCAATTTAATACACAAGTCCTAGTAATTAATTAAAAAAACCCACACCCAAACCAACAACAGGTTATTGGCCACACAGCAACTAACACTAGCACAGCATTAAGGTAGGAATGCGTGGCTGGAAGTGAGGGGAAGAGGGTAGTAGTATCCTTGTGGCTTTTATTGCTAACAGCCTGGCAAGTCCTGCCACACAGGAAAAGAAAGGGCAATAACCACTTCCCTAAGCTCTTGGTAGTGACTTTGTGCCCTGAAGAATATGTGTTGTTTTCCTGCCTGCCTTACTTTGCCATATATGATTTGATAATTCCTGTGAGTTACTTAGTACTTACTGTTTGGGCAATGAATGAGAGAAGGCAGGGAAAGGAGGGGGAAGGATTTGGTGGAAGCAGAAGCTCTCTAAGGTTAAACACAAAATGAGTTCAGCCAGCATTCCACTCCTGCATGTGGCAAGCAAAAACTTCAGAATTAATACAAAGCTGTAGTTGTGTTTCAGTGGACTAGCTGGACCCACAAAAGGATGACAGCTGTTCAGAGGAAGCATGGAAACGTTTTTGGAGTTGTGCATATAGCAGAGCAAGTATTGCACAAAAAGATGCATTGTAAATCTGATGATAATATACTTTACCACTAGAATTTGTAGGGCTCTTCCATGCTATTTAGCTGCAAGCATGTTTGCAATTGTCCATTACACTGGGAAACACCAGTGACAGGTTGCCAACTGGATTTAACTCCATTCACCACCACTCTCTGGGCCTGGCCATCTAGACAGTGTTTGATCCAGCAGAGTGTAAGGCTGCCCAGGCCACGAGCAGCCCATTTCTATAGGAGAATGCTGTGGGGAACAATATAAAAGACTTTACTGAAGCCACAGAATCATTAAGGTTGGAAAAGACCTTCAAGATTATCAAGTCCAACCATCTGCCGCCGTACAACCCCTAAAACACCAGGTCTACCCATTTTTTGAACACCTCCAGCAATGGTGCCTCTACCACCTTCCTGGGCAGCCTGTTCCAATGCCTCGTTACTCTTCCTGTGAAGAAATTCTTCCTCATATCCAATCTGAACCTTCCCTGTTGCAACTTGACCACATTTCCTCTTGCCCTATCGCTGGTCACTAGGGAGAAGAGGCCAACACCCACCTCACTACAATGTCCTCTAAGGTAGCTGTAGAGAGCAATGAGGTCTCCTCTCAGCCTCCTTTTCTCCAGGCTCAACAGCCGTAGCTCCCTCAGCTTCTCCTCATAAGGCTGATTCTTCAGACCCCTAGTCAGCCTGATTTTTCTCTGCACCCTCTCCAGCACCTTGATTTCCTTGCTATACTGTGGTGCCCAAAACTGCATATGGTACGCAAGGTGCAGCTTCACCAGGGCCAACTATAGGAGTAAGATCACCTCCCTGGTCCTGCTGGTCACACTATTCCTGATGCAGGCCAGGATACTGTTGGCCTTCTTGGCTACCTGGGAGCACTACTCATGTTCAACTGGCTGTCAGTCAACACCCTCAAGTACCTCTCTGCTGGGCAGCTCTGCAGCCACTCCTCCCCAAGCCTGTAGCACCACTTAGGGTTGTTGTGGCCAAAGTGCAGGACCCCACATTTGGCCTTGTTGAAACTCATGCAATTGGCCTTGGCCTATTGGTCAAGTCCAGGTGAACTACATCTGCAGCCTTTCCATCATCCACTGAGCCTGTCACCTTGTCACAGAAGGACATGAGGTTCATTAAGCAGGACCTGACCTTCAGGAACCTGTGTTGGCTGGGTCTGATCACCTGGTTGTCCCGTAAATGGTGTGTTATGACACTCAAAATTATTTGCTCCATTGACCTTCCTTGGCTCCAACATCAAACTGATAGATCTGTAGTTTCTCAGATCCTCCTTCTGGCCCTTCTTGTAGGTGAGTGTTTGCTAACCTTTAGTCTGTTGGGACCTCCCCTGTTAGCCAGGACTGTTGATAAATCATGAAGAGTGGCTTGGTAAGCGTATTAACCAACTCCTTCAGCACTCTTGGGTGTAACCCATCCAGCCCTATAGACTTGTGTATGTTTAGATGTTGTAGATCATAGAATCATTCAGGTTCTAGGATAGGTATCCAGTTCTCATCATGACAATGGCTCAATACAAGAATTTGGCATTTGAGGAAGAACGACTTTCTGTATCACATAATTAGTTTACCATCCTTAAAAACATATATACATACATATATATATACATATGTATATAGTCTGATTTCCTCCAGACATTGTTACTGTGTGAAATGTGGTTTAGTGGGATTCTTTTGTATCTCTCAAGTAATATTGAGTGAATGTATGAGGACAGAAGTATCCAGCCCTCCTTAATCTTCTCTGCCTGTTTTCTCTTTCAAGTGTTCTTGCTAATGGCTTGAGTAGTGATTCGCATCCATATCTGACCAGTGTGATCTCTTTCTTCTGTGGTGATACAATATGGTTCTAGGCTCTATATGGCAGCCAACTGGAAGCTTGCATAGTCAGTTGCAAAAGTGTAGGGGAATAATGGATAAATAATTCTAAGGGATGATTTATAAGTTGGAGAGTATTATGTTCTGATGAGAAATTGGAAACTGGGAGTTACCTTTTATTTGGTTTGTGCATAGGGCATCCAGTCACACACCACTGTATCAGTGCTAGGAACCCCTAATAAAGATTTCAGGTATTACTACAAAAGAATACATAAAGAGTCTGTTATGCAACTGCACCAGCAATAAAAAACAAGCTATGTTTATAATCACTGTGTGAAGAATAGGTATTACATTAACTCTTAGTGTTGAGAAAGGAAAGATGCTGGAGGGCATTTTTTTGTCTCTGGAGGAGGTGGTGGTTGGTGCTTTTTATTTTTTATTTTTTTTTGTCCAGCTTTATGGGATGGTAGATTCCCCATCACAACTTTTATCCTGGTCTTCAGCTACAGTCTTTGAGAACCGAGTGTTTGCCCAGTTCTCTAACCTTCATATCAAGTGTATTTTTCATGCAATACATTTCTGTCTCCTAGCCCTAGTAACTAATAAATCCTCACTAGTCATATATGTAATCTGGAACCACAACTCGGGTTTACTAAGGTTCTGACTTCCTGCAGCAGTTACTGAGTCCCCGGTGATAAGACTTCTTCGCATTGAAACAGTCACCTGTTACTCCTTATTTTAAGGTTTGTGTAAAAATTGACAGTTCATGTTCATGGCTGTGTGAATCAGAGGTCTGGATTGATATTTAATAAAATGAAATAAATTAACCCTTTTATCTCATTACATGATAGTTAGTAGAAGGTGTGAAGGCCTACTGAGGCTAGTGATTGAGCCAAGTGATTGGTGTATTTTTTCCTTTTGTTTTTCCCCAGACTCCTGTCTGATAGACTCATAGTTTGGGTTGGAAGGGACCTTTCAAAGATCATTCAGTCCAACCCCCCTGCAATGGGCAGGGAAATCAACAGCTAAATCAGGTCGCTCAGAGCCCTGTCCAACCTGACCATGAAAGTTTCTGGGGGTGGGACATCCTCTGCTTCTTTGGCAAGCTGTACCAGTGTTTCCACATCCTCATTGTAAAAAAAAATTCTTCCTTATATCTAGTTTAGATCTACCCTCTTTCAGATGAAAACTGTTCTCTCTTGCCCTATTGCTACAGGCCCTACTAAAAACTCTGTACCCATCTTTTCTTAAATACTGAAAGGTCGCAGTAAGGTCTGCCTGGAGCCTTCTCCAGGCCAAACAACGCCAACTCTCTCAGCCTGTCTTCATAGGAGAGATACTACAGCTCTCTGATTATCTTTGAGGTCCTCCTCTGGACTGGCTCCAATAGTTGCATGTTCTTCTTATGTTGGAGACCACGTATCTGGTCACGGTACTCTAGGTGGAGTCCCAACAAGAGTGGAGTAGAGGAGAATTACTTCCTTCCTCTTTCAACTTGCTGGTCACGTTTCTTTTAATGCAGCTTAGGATACAGTTTGCTTTCTGGGCTTCAAGCACCCATTGCTCGCTCATCTTGACCTTCTTATCCACCAGTACCCTCAAGTCCTCCTCAGGGTTGCTTTCAATCCCTTCATCCTCCAACCTTTATTGATAATGGGATTTGCCCTGACCCTGGTGCAGAACCTTCCACTTGGCCTTGTTGAGCCTTATGATGTTCACATGGGTCCACTTCTTGAGCTTGCTCAGGTCCATCAGAATGGCATCCTGTCCCTCAGGCGTGGTGACAAGCCTCCATACAGTGGTACAAGAAGTGGAGAAAAAAGAATCATAACAGGAAATGGGAATTTAAATGCAGCTTTGGGGAGCTAACGATGGGGACAGTATTGCAAACACTTTATTGCAAGAAGCAGGAGCAAAACTTTGCAGGAGGAAACACACCACAATGCACAGGAACGGCAGTGTTTTAACAGCTGTTATTTAATGGCTGTTTAGAGACACACATGCACAAAGTTACTGCTTCTTTGTCTCTGCAGCTGGACTCTGCTTCTGCGTTGCGACATTCTTATCATTCTTCTCCCTTCTATAAAGTGAACTCTACTATTTATCTTAAGTGGGTTAGCGTTTTGTGGACCTATCTGAGAATGGTGTAGAAAGTTAACATTGACATAAATTTGTAAAGTCGTTTTAGGTATTTTTTTTTTGGTAGAAAATTTGTTACTTTTGTATCTCTCAGGGTTATGAAAAGGTTATAGGTAATTTGTTTTAAGAGCCAATTAAATGTTTTTAGGCATAAATTTTGACACCTTAATTGAAATCTTATGCTGTATATTCTTTTCCTATGCAAGCTAAGACATTAATTACAAAATTTAAGTGTATATGAAGAATCAAGTAATATGATTACTTTTAATATGTCTTTCTGTTCTTTGTCACTTAACTGTGAAAAGCGTTACTGTCCTCAGTGGCAATCTTGCAAGTGTGACTCTGGGGAAAAAAAGAGTTCAGACTGGTTGCCTGAGCCTTAATGACAATTTTGACCTTTTGTTGTGTATATAGTATTGAGGAAGTATGATGCTAAAATCAATTACAAAAGAGCAAAGAGTATGCATTTGGTTTTTCCATGTAATGGGAATAGTCTTAGCAACCTTTCTTCTTCCATCAGAGTATGTAGGTATCTATTGTGCAGAAAAGTTACTTCAATTATTATTTAATGGTATAATGTGCAAACTTAGAAACAAGTTTTCATTGTCTATGCTTGAGAATTTTATCTGTATAGCATTTTGAACCTCATCTAGCATAAGCATCCTAGATGTCATCACATCTTTTTTACTAGAAAGTATTATTTCCTGGTTAATGTGTTACTGAGTTTGTGTATTCTAAGTTATGATAGTCTCTGTATATCCTCAGCAGTATTGCTGCAATTCAGAGACCGTAGATAATATTTTTTTTCTGGCAAAATACCAATTTGATATTATATCCTGTTATGTGGTGATTTTAATGTGTGTGAGTTTTTTCCCCACCCACCTATCCTCTTTTTCACCTAGTGTCTTATCGATCTATAATGACTTCTTCATTCTCTGGAGAAGAAGTGAGGAGCTGTGTTTTCTGTGTAGCTCAGACCATGCTATAGGAGAATCTGCTGAATCTGAACTGTAGAAGTCTTTGTCTGTTTTGTGTGCTACACAGTTAATTTGCTCTTGTCCTCTTGGAATGTGGACATTGATAACTTACTTAGCAGTGATCTTCTTGAGAGCTCATTTTTTTTTGGTCTTCATAGACATCATTGCTAGTTTTGTTCCTAATCGAGTGCTAGGGTTTTTTTTTTATTCCAGAGTAAAGGAAAGAAAGGAGCATTGGGTGCTAGGTGCTTGTTCTCTAAATCAATGCTAAATGGCTGGTTGAGTGCTTACGTGACATTCCAGTAGCATTACAAGAATCTGTGTTGTCCCTCAGTTAGGATTTATGTTTGTCGCAGGTCCACAGGAGCCAATGAGCACACAGAGCCCAGATTCACCTTTTAGCCTTTTAATCCAGTTCTGCACAGAAAGAGGTGCCAGATGATATTTTATGAAGGTAACATGACCCTCCAGAGGGTTTGCAGGTTCTTATTCAGGTTGCAACAAAGAGAAAGTCGCACAGCATTCTTTCATTATTCACCTTTTGATTGTATAACTAGTGTTCCTCTGCATGTGCTCTGATTAGTGGCTAAGCAGTCCTCTCAAGGGTGTGATTTTTACCATGCTAATTAGTCTTAGATTACTTTAGGTTACCCTCATATAACCCCTACCTCCCCCTTTCCTATCCCCCTGGTCAGAGGATGATTCATCTTTGATGACCTTAGCTCATTCCTTTGTAATCCTGTGGTATTTTATATTACCTTGTTGTGATTCTTTACTTTGAGGTCCATATTTGGATATTGTGCTCTTGAATTTTTGAGGCCTTCTCAAAAGAGGGACCTGCAGAATTTCCCACTGTTATGTAAATAGTAATATATTTGTCTAGAGGGCATTTATTGGGAGGTGGCTTAGAGCAGAATTAGTGTTTCAAACACTACTAAAGCATGAATGGTTGTACATTAAGTTCAGAAAAAAAAAACCACGGTTGATATTCTAAACAATATGTAGCCTGAAGCTGCAAGCTCCCTTACAGATTTTCTTGTCCTTGTTGCATACAAGTAGTGCTTATTACAAAAAAACACAGTCTTCCTTTAGGAGGAGGAGTATAGCAGAAAGCATTAGGCAGATACCCTCCAAAGGTTGTGTCATCAAAAGTGTTTTCACAAAAATCATCCTTATAATTTAAAAATAGTGTTAATTTAATGTAAGTGGTCAAATAACAGACCAGTTGAAATGACTGTGCTGAAGTGGAAAGGCTCTTTTCCACTCCAAGGGAAGAAAGTGAGAGAGAGGAAAAGGAGAAAAGAGTTTTTGCCTTGTATATTTGAGCATTTGCTGATATGGTAGGGGCAGGGTTTCAGGTAGCTTGATGCTATGTGCATGAAAATGTCATTGAAGAATAGAAGCTGTACAGAAATTATGTGTATTGATGAGTGTTTTTTTGTTAGGAGATTATTCTTGCTTCTGCATGACCTGGAATATTGCACAGCATCCTCAGCAAATGAGCCTTAGCTTGGTTTCAGTAAGTTCTGTTCAGTGTGCAGAGGGGAATGTGTTACAAATTAACTAGTCTTTAGTAGTAATTCTGTCATCTTCGTGCTATGGTCTTTGCCATTCCTCTTCAGCATAGCAGCATCTTGTAATCCTAGCATCTGTCTGAAGACCAGAGGCTTCCCATTATATGTGTCCCTCTACGTTTGATCTTCTGGTTGTGGGGAGCCTATAAGGATTTTGCATGATCAGTGTTACTTCTAAAAGCTGAGCTTCTTATGTGAGTTCCTTGAGAGGGTGTACTTGGTGACCTTTTTAGGTCCCTTCAAAACCAATATATTCTGTGATTCTTTATGTTCCAGAAGTACAGGAATGGGCAAAGAGAAGAACCAGTGACTTTCCAAATTAGGAAATGGTGTGGAAAATTTACATTTTGGACAATGTTCTGATGTTATTTGTAGGAAAGTTTACATGTTTGTGAAAACACGATAGTAAGCCCAGATTGCTATTAAATCTAAAACTTCTTAATTCCTAACATGTACACTAGACATGTGGGATTTACTCCCTTGACATTGAAGTAAAAGAAGATAACATTTTCCTTTCTCCCACAGATCCAGACATTTAATGTTGAGGCACCATGCCAGACCGTGGAAGATTTAACGAGTGGGGTTGTGATGGCCCAGGTTCTTCAAAAAATGTAAGAAATGGTTTATTTTATTCATTAAAGACACACAGTTTTGCTATCTATATATTTTGCTGTATTTAAGTGTTATTAGTTCAAACTTGGCTGGTATTCCATAGGACCTGAATTTTCCTATGCTTAGACAGTACTTTAATCTGAAACATGATTTAATATGTTTTGTTTTTTTTCTCTATAGTTTTCAGATAACTATTTTAAATGAAAATAAATGTTTTAGGAAGGTATTTATTCACATGTGATCTTACTGGGAAGTAAGCTGGATTAAAACCATGTTTACAAAATCAAGCTTTAAAAAGTTGAAACCAGTGCAAGGTAAGGTATAGGCCCTGATCATTGTTTGAAACTACAGTCTGCATATCACTAATGTTAGAATTAGTTTCATGCAATAAAACTTTTGTGATAAACTGAATGGAACTGTCAGTTTAGTTTTTTGCAAAGATAGTAAGTTCTTGAAAGAAAGTGAAGGAGTAGTAGCTGGCACACTAGAAAATGTTTTAGTTCTTTTGAGCTTTTTGATCAAATAGAATAAAATGCAGTAGTTCAGCTTCTTAGTTGATGAATCTGGGATGGTTGTAAGGACTACAGATAAGTATCTGAAATGTAGCTATATGCAGAATTGCCTGTTTTCACAGAAACACTATTTTTATCATTCATTAGAAACTTGAGCAGTTTCTAGCTTTTGGCAAAGTCAGCAGTCCAAATTAAGCATGGCAGTTTCTACAGACTTTTTTTTTTTTTTAAAAAAGGTATGCTTTATTCCTTTTGACATGAAGAGTGTACTGTCTTGTGTGTAAAGGCAGAATAAAATATCTTCTGTGTAGTTTATTGAAAATGAAAACTGGACAAATACAGAATAGTTACAAACAGTTCTTCTGGTTTGCCGTCAAAGAATCATAGAGTAGCTGAGGTTGAAAAGCACTCTGGAATGTGTAAGTCAACTCATCTGGTTGAAGTGGATTCTGCTAGACCAGGTTGCCCCAGGATTGTGCCCAGACAATATGGATGAATGACAACTCTACAGCTTCTCTGGGCTATCAGTTCCAATATTCAAATGCCCTCACAGTTTTTAGAAAATAAAACCAAAGTAAACCCAAAACAAACAAACCCAAGCAAAACCAAAACAGCAGGGACCGTTTCTTCCTTTCTGTTCACATGGAAAAACTTGTCTTTCAGTTTGTGTCCACTGTCACTTGTCTGTTCACTGGACACCATTGAGAAGATTATGTGAGGGTATAAAGAAGAAGAAGAAGCCATCACGTATTTATACTCAGGATGGGTAAGATCCCAATGAGCCATCTCTTCCTGAGTCTAAACAGACTCAGCTCAGTCTCAGCTCTTAGGAGAGATGCTTCAGTCTGTCAATCATCTTAATTGCCCTTTGCTGAGCTTTCATGTATGTCCAGGTCTCTCAGGCTGCGGAGCCCAGGACACAGCACTTCAAATGTGGTCTCAGCAGAGGTCATTAGTGTTCCCTCTGGCCTGCTGCCAGTGTTCTTCCCAGTGCAGTCCAGGATGTATGTGGTTGCCCTTTTCCGCTACAAGGACATGTTGCTAGAACATGTTTACCTTGGTTTCTACCAAGCCGCTTCTCTGCAAAGCTGCTTTCCAGCCAGTCGAACCCCAGCATATACTGATGTGTGGGGTTTTGCACTTACCTTTGCTGAAATGTGTAAGGTTTCTGTCAGCCCATTTCTCCATCTTGTTGAGGTCAGAATTTTTAGGGTTGAAAGGGTCCTTTGAAGATCATATAGTTCAGGCCCTCTGCTGGAACGTCATCACCTAGGAGACACTTAATTTCTAATGTTGGTGAAGGGCTTTGTCATATTCTTTGGAAAATCAAAGAAATAGTATCAACCAGATTCTCTTTATATGTATACTCTTCTGTCCCTTCAGATATCTCTAGGAGGTGAGGAAGGAATTAATGGTGTTGATCTTCCCCAGCAGACTGTAGATTCATAAATCCCAATGGATAAATTGCAGACCTCATACAAATGATGCTGATAAAATGGCAGCACAATTATCAAGTGTATCAAACACTCCTTCCAGTTTTGTGTTATTTGAAAACCTGCACTCTGTTCCATCACCTAGGTCACTGTTAAAAGATTTGAATAGCATTTACCTCTTGGGTATGTTGCTAGTGGACTTCCTGCTGGACTTCATACTGTTGCTCATAGCCCTGACAGTTCAGAAATTTTTCATCCCACCTCACTATTCACTTATCCAGGCTATTCATCAGTTTGTCTATGATGATGTTACCCTGATCATGTGTTCTCTAGCAGGCACCTATAACATCACCTATATGGATCTGTATGGTGATCCTGAACCATAATTTCTCAGCTGGCTCATCATCTATCCCAAGGCAGAGCTCATGCATGCCTTCTGCTCTCTCACATAAAGAGTATTTCCCTGACACTGCCTTCTCAGCTTGTTCTTTCTAAAGAGCCTGTATTCATTCATGGCAGTAGCCTTGTCATCTGGGCTGTCCCACCATGTCTTTATGATCCAAATGAGACTGTGGCCTAATAATTACACACAGAGCTCTCTTTCTTTCTGTTTTTTCTCCGTGCTGCATACATTAGTGCATAGGCATTTCACACGTCCATTCAGTCTTGATGATTCCCAAGAATGAGAGCTTTCCCTTCAGAATTTTTCTGTACACCTTTATTTAGCACTTATGCCTGGGGTGACCTCACTTCAGCCCTGCTTTGTTGGCCATAAGGGATCTCTTGTTCACGTCGTCCCACACTTGTTGCTTGTCAACAGAGTCCACTTCTTTGCCACTTGATGTTTTGTTGTATTTTCTCTCTTCTGTTGTTCCTTGTTCAAAACTTGTTGGTTGAACAGGTTGGCCAGCCTGTTGGTAAAGATGCTTCTGCCCACCATAGTCAGGTGTATCTGATCTCTTCCAAGCAGTCCTTTATTCTTAAAGAGGGGTCCATGGTCACAGAAACCAAAACCCTGCTGCCAACACCAGTTCACTGCTGGTTGTTGAACTGCAGGATATGTCTGCTTCTTAGGCACTTCTGGCTAACTGGCATGACTGGGGAGAACCACTTGGGCCTTGACCATAGCTTCCAGAGCCACATACTTTATGCTTTCCCAGTCTCCTCAGCTGTATAGCTGGTGCCCATATGGAAAAGCAAAATGAGTGATAGTCTGGGAGCTGGACAGGCTTTGGCAGTCTTTCAGCAATGCCATGAGTTCAAGCCTTTAGCAAGCAGCAACCTGTCTTAGCTGACAAGACAGTCAGAAGATGAAGGCCCTCCATCCCTTGTTAATGCTTGCCACCTCCCTGATGTGCTGCTGTGTGTCTAAGGTTTATTGAACACAAATGTTTCACTTGACAGAGCTCCTAGACCCTTCACTTCCATGAGGACACAGAATCTGTCCTGTAGTTGCAAATCTTCAGGTGGAGCAGGAGCTTTCCTCCTAGGAAAAGAGCTGCCATTTTACAGGAAGAAAAAAGGGGGAAGGGAAATCTCAATGTAGTGAAATATTTCAAGGCAATCCTTTTTAGCAGGTGAAACGGTCAAATCTGGAACATAGAATCCTAAAGGCTTGAAGCAGAGGACAGTCTTTTATTCCTATCTGAAACTTCAAAGAAGATGTAAATGCTGCGGAGTTTTTTCTGCATTTAATTTCCCCTTCTTTGAGGAAGATGAGGCATTGTTTGTAGGAATCATCCAATCTTTATGTATTTTTCCATCAAACAAAACTAATTTCAAGTAATGTCAGCAGTCTTCTTGCTTCAAAGTAATTGAAGCAGTCTTTCTACTGTTTAAAATGTATTTTGCTGCACACAAAAGATGACACAAAAACCCTCCCAGTTGGAAACTGATTTTCCAACACAGCGTTTAAATGGTCTCACTTTTAAGTTTTCTAAAGTCTGAACGTCAGATTTACAGGTCAGAAGGTAAAAACAATGTAGTTTGAATTACATTTTTCAGAATTGAAAATATACTGTCCTTTTTATCTGCTGGAGTATAAAAAGGTGGTGACCATAAAAATTGTGTGTTCAGTAAACTTTATGATAAGTCAGGATTTCAGCATAATTATCACAGTTTAACACAGGGCTGTCAATTAAACTAAAGACAGTGAGCTCTCTATCCTCTTCCCCTTTCACCAGGAGAGGAAAGAGGCTTCCAGATTGAAAATTAAACAAGACAGCTTTAATGAAAAACGAATTATAAAAAAGATAGGTACAAATATATACAAATAGGTTCAGGAATGTGCAAAAGCCCTATTGCCTCCCACATCCCCAGCAACTCCCACAGCACTTCCCCCGAGCAGCAGGCAGTCTGAAAAAGTCCTGGACCACTTCCAGAGATAGCAGCAGAGTAGACAGGAAGTGAGGGTAGAGATACAGGCATCAGGAATGCATGGGCCTAGGGATCAAAGGAGATGGATTGAGTCCATCTTGAATGTTGGCTATGGATGAAAAAGATCTTTACTTCTCTGATCCCTGAATTTATACTGAGTATGACACATAGGGGGATGGAATACTTCTTTGGCTACTTTCAGTCACCTGTCTGGTTCACTCTTCCCTACAGAAGTGCTGTAGATATGGGTCTTCTGCTCCTTTAGTGTCCAAAGCAGCAGATTCAACAAGTGGAGCAAAGTGGCCTGGGTCTCTCAGAAGTAACTGTAAACATTGAGCATTATCAGTCCACTCGCTGGAAAATTGGCTGTTAATTTCAGCAAGAGTCATGAAGAAAATCAGTAAAAAGAAAATTGGCTTGATCCTGGCTCTAACCACAGTGGTAATCATCTGTGAATCTGTTTTCAGAGCATTTAGGAAAAAATGTAATAGTAATGTATTTAATCTGGGTATGTATCTGTCTTGAACTTCTGTAGGTTTTTTGTAGCATACAGATTCCACTTAACTTAATGATGGGCCAACAGTTGATAACTGTATATATTCTTGATTGACTAGTTCAAAGACTAATGAGAATTTGGATCTAAAACGTGACATACCTTGATACAAACCAAAATAAAAC